CTGACCCCAAAACCCCCAAAAACTCCAAAAATCCCAACTCCAAACCCCAAAAAATTCAAAAATTCTGACCCCCAAACCTCCAGAAACTCCAAATCCCAAAAACTCCAATTCCAAAAATCCCAACACCTCCAAAAATCCCAACTCCAAAACCCCAAAAATGCAAAAAATCCTGACCCCAAGTGTCAAAAAACCTTTACCCCAAAACCTCCAAAAATCCCAACTCCAAAACCCAAAAAAAATCCAAAAATTCTGACCCCAAAACCCCAAAACCTCCAGAAACTCCAAACCCCAAAAACTCCAAAAATCCTGACCCCAAAACCCCAAAAATCTGGGATTGGCAATTCCAAAAATCCCATTTTTCCTGACTCTAATTCCCATCTTTTCTCTCAATTTTGAATTTTCCAGCTCAAATTTTCCCTTTTTCCAGGAGGATTTTCCCTTTTTTTTTTTTTTTTTTTTTCTGGGAGATTTTCCCTCTTTTCCCGGTTGGGATTTTTTTCTCTTTCCCATTTGGGATTTTCCCAATTTTTCAGGGAAATTTTCCCCCATTTTTGGGGATGATTTCCTCCATTTATGGGGTTTTTTTCCCCATTTTTTGGGGTGTTTTTTCCCATTTCTGGGGGTGTTTTTCCCCCATTTTTGGCGGTGATTTTTTCCCATTTTTGGGGGTGTTTTTTCCCATTTTTCAGGGAAATTTTCCCCCATTCTGGGGATATTTTCCCCCATTTCTGGGGCTGTTTTCCCCCATTTTTGGGGATATTTTCCCCCATTCCGGGGGCTGTTTTCCCCCTTTTCTGGGGTATTTTCCTCCATTTCCTGCCTGATTTTCCCCTCATTTCTAGAGATGTTTTCCCCCATTCCTTGAGGTATTTTCCCCCATTTTTGAGGCTGTTTTTCCCCCATTCCTGGGAGTGATTTTCCCTCTTTTCCTGGACGATTTCCTCCAGAAAACACTTTTCTGGGGGTGTGTTCCCCTCATTTCCTGCCTGACTTTCCCCTCATTTCCTGGATGATTTTCCCCTCATTTCTAGGGATGTTTCCCCTCATTTCCTGGGGATATTTTCCCCAATTTCTGGGGCTGTTTTCCCCCATTTTTGGGGATATTTTTCCCCATTTCCTGCCTGATTTTCCCCTCATTTCTAGGGGATATTTTCCCCCATTTCCTGGGGATATTTTCCCCCATTCCTTGAGGTGTTTTCTCCCATTTCTGGAGGTGGTTTCTCCCATTTTTGGGGCTGTTTTTCCCCATTTCTGGGGCTGTTCTCCCCCATTCCTGGTGGTGTTTTCCCCCATTTCCTGGACGATTTCCCCCCTTTTCTAGGTGTGTTTTCCCCCATTTCTTGAATTATTTTCCCTCATTTCCTGGATGATTTTCCCCTCATTTCCTGGGAATATTTTCCCCCATTTCTGGGGATATTTTCCCCCATTCCTTGAGGTGTTTTCCCCCATTCCTGGTGGTGNTGTCTTCAGGAACCCAAAGTGTCCCTCAGGTAACCAGAAATGTCCCTTGGGCAACCAGAAAAGTCCCTCAGGTAGCCAAAGTGTCCCTCAGGCAGTCCAAGTGTCTCCCAGCGACCCAAAGTGTCCTCCAGGTACTCAAGATGTTCCTTCAGGTACTCGAAGTGTCCCTCAGGTAACCAGAAATGTCCCTGGGTACCCAAAGTGTCCTCCAGGTACTCAGAGTTTCACCCAGGTACCCAAAGTGTCCCTCAGGTACCCAAAATGTCCTTCAGGTAACCAGAAATGTCCCCTGGGTACCCAAAGTGTCCTCCAGGTACTCAGAGTGTCACCCAGGTACCCAAAGTGTCCTTCAAGCAACCAAAGTGTCCCTCAGGTACCCAAAGTGTCTTCAGGAACCCAAAGTGTCCCTCAGGTAACCAGAATGTCCTTCAGGAACCCAAAGTGTCCCTCAGCAACCCAAAGTGTCTTCAGGAACCCAAAGTGTCCTTCAGGTACCCAAAGTGTCCCTCAGGTACCCAAAGTGTCCCTCAGGTAGTTGGAGGGTTCCTCGGGTAGTCAAAGTCTCACCCAGCCACCCAAAGTGTCCTTCAGGTACTCAGAGTTTCACCCAGGTATCCAAAGTGTCCCCCAAGTAACCAGAAATGTCCCTCAGACACCCAAAGTGTCCTTCAGGCACCCAAATGTCCCCAGAAAAGTCTCCCAGGTACCCAAAGTGTCCCTCAGGTAACCAGAAATGTCCCTTGGGCAACCAGAAAAGTCCCTCAGGTACCCAAAGTGTCCCTCAGGTAGCTGGAGGGTTCCTCAGGTAGTCAAAGTGTCACCGAGCGACCCAAAGTGTCCCTCAGGTACTCAAAATGTTCCTTCAGGTACCCAAAGTGTCCCTCAGGTAACCAGAAATGTCCCCTGGGTACCCAAAGTGTCACCCAGCCACCCAAGGTGTCCTTCAGGTACTCAAGGGTGTCACACAGGTAACCAAAGTGTCCTTCAGGAACCCAAATGTCCCTGTCCTGCACCCACAAGTGTCTCCTAAAGCACCCCCTGAGCACCCAGAAATGTCCCCACCAGAAATGGCACCCCCAGAACCCTTCCAGGACCCACAACACCCCAAGAACCCTTCCAGGACACTGTGGGAACCCTTCCAGGACCTGCAGGGGCCCAGGCCACCCCAGAACCCTCCCAGAATCCTCCAGAACCTTTCTAGGACACTTTAGGAACCCTTCCAGGACCTGCAGGAGCTCAGAACCCCTCAGGAACCCTCCCAGAACCCTCAGGAACCTCCCAGAACCTTCAGGAACCTCCCAGAACCTTCAGGAACCTTCCAGAACCCTCAGGAACCTTCCAAGACCCTCCAGAACCCTTCCAGAACCCCTCAGAAACCTTCCAAGACCCTCAGGAACCTTCCAGAACCCCTCAGGATCCTCCCAGAACCTTCCAGGACCCTCAGGAACCTTCCAGAACCCTCAGGAACCTCGCAGGACCCTCAGGAACCTTCCAGGACCCTCCAGAACCTTTCTAGGACACTTTAGGAACCCTTCCAGGACCTGCAGGAGCTCAGAACCCCTCAGGAACCTCCCAGAACCCTCCAGAACCTCCCAAGACCTTCAAGAACCTTCCAGGACCCTCAGGAACCTCCCAGATCCCTCAGGAACCTCCCAGGACCCTCAGGAGCCTCCCAGAACCCTCCAGAACCTCCCAGAACCCTCCAGAACCTTCCAGAACCCTCAGGAACCTTCCAGAACCCTCAGGAACCTCCCAGAACCCTTCCAGGACCCTTCCAAGACCCTCAGGACCCTTCCAGGACCCTCAGGAACCTCCCAGAACCCTCCAGAACCCTCAGGAACTTCCCAGGACCCTCAGGAACCTTCCAGAACCTTCCAGAACC